GGGCTTAAATTGCAACAAGGGAGATTTAGGTTAGACATGAGGGGAAAAACTGTCAGGGTAGTTAAACATTGGAACAAATTACCAAAAGTATCCAACATACACTGTTCCTCAGCTCCCCATCTTTAAAGTGGGGGTAATACCCTCTCATCTCAGCGGTGCGAAAATAATTCATTAATATTTGTCCAGTACTCAGATACTGTAGTGGTGAGCACTGTAGAAAATCCCATGAAGAAATTAACAATTCTGTCTTCAGAGCAGAGTTTGAGTAGTGTGCAGTAAATAAGGCCTGGGGCCGCACATTGAACAATGAGGATAAAACAAAATATTGAGTAGCTGCTCATTAATTAAACACCATCCATTCTGTGCCCGAAATATGGTAGGGGTCTTGTGGAAAAAATAGTATGTGATCAAGTCGTAGGTGCCAACTCCAGGGCTGGAGCACCCATGGAAAAAATTAGCGGGTTCTTAGCACCCACTGGCAGCCAGCTTCCCTCTTCCCCCAGCACGTCTACCCCACCAGCAGCCCTGCTAATCAACTTCTCCTCCTCCCTCCCAGCGCCTCCAGCCCACCATGGATCAGCTGTTCCAAGGCAGGCAGGAGGAGCTGGGAGGGAGAGGCAGGAGTGGGGAGGGGGCGGAAAGAGGCGGGGGTGCAGCCTTGGGGAAGGGTTGGAGTGGGAACGGGGGCAGAGTGAGGGTGGGGTGAGGGTGGGGGCCTGGGGGAAGGTGTGGAGTGGGGGCGGGGCCTGGGGGGGCGGGGGAGGTCGAGCACCCACCAGGTAAAGAGGAAGTTAGCACCTATGGGATCAAATCATTAATGACTGTATCATAATACATATGCACAAGGGGGCATACTTAAGATTGCACAGACAACTTTAATTGTGGAATTTCTGAACTTATGATTGCTTGACCTTGCAATCTTAATAGTCTTTCATTGTATGTTTTATATATATGAAGTATATGTATAGTGCATATGTGGCTGTGTAACAGTTTGTGTGTTAAGAAAAAGTATCAGTCTATTCATCCAGTAGCCCAAATTGGCTCCATCATGTATACAATAGTAAATACAGTAAAACAAACACCTCAGTATTTGGCATGAAGGCTGGAACTGCTCCAAAGGAACCACATGTCTTAAGAGAACAATTTTTTTAAACTTGGGGGACAAGAGCAATTGCACTGAAATTTCAATATCTTGAATAAATAATAATCCTCCTTTTAAAATGATGGGCTACCTAAATACAGCATATACTGTTTTGGCCAGGCAGGTAACTGGTGTGAAGTACCTTTCCATAAAGCATTTTTTAATCCTCCATGAAATTACCATGGTCTGTGGTTTTTTGTTTTGTCTTTTAAAGCAGTGAGGACACAACATTTGATTCATATGTAAACAGTAGGACACTTACTACCCAAAGTAAGGACTGACGCTTTGTTGTTAACTCCTGCTTTTGTGCTGCTTTTTCCCACTCCCAGAACCAGTTACCTGTTTGGTTTTTGGTTTCTAGTGCAGGAGGAAGGTTGTGACTCCCCTGTAACAATTGCCATTATTTACGGCTGAGAGAGTTACTGTGTCCAGGGTACTAGTTAAAAGCTGCCTAGGTGTTACTCTGGCTCCCCTTCCTTGCCTCCCTGCCCAATCCATTCTGTTTGTCATCCTGGCTGCTTTTTATTTATTGGTTGAATTGTCAGTCCCCTGTAGCAGATAGGACGGTATGTGGGAAGGTTTTCTATTTTTATTTTTTGCACCAAGGTTTAGTGAATGCAATGAAATTAATTGAAACAAAAGAGCCATTTGTTTGCTTTTCCCATTAGGAGATCATCATAGCACAAGGTATCTTTCAGGAGCAAGACCTCCTAGTCAGAACACATACAGAGCAGACAAAACAAACCGTTCCATCAATTAGCAAATATCAGTGAAACTGTTTCGTTAGTTAGCAAGTTCACATAAATTGCCTTCGAGTTGATCCTCCGCTTGACAGCTAGCAAAGAAAAATGCTTTAAGGTAGGGCTTTCCTTTTCATGTGGCTGGGCCTTCGTCACCAGGAATGTTTGATAAATCACAAGCTCCCTTCCCATTTTTTAATTTGTCTCCTGGATCTTGTGAAAATAAATGAATTCAGCTTGGTAAAAACACCATTTATGTGTGTCTGGCTTCAGTGCTGAAAGTGCATGCTGAGGATTGAAGGCCTGATACCGAGGCTGCATTCACAAGTTCTTTTGATAGACAGCTTGTTGTGACTAGATATATAGCTGCTCTCCTACTGCTGGCAACCTTTCAGAGGGGATTCACAAATCATATCCTAGGTCTCTGAAGTAGAAAAACAGTGTCCACTCTGATATCATTCTCTCCTTCTCTCATTCATGTGCAGTATACTTTTCTATCTACCACTCTTCCATGTGCCTTCTTCTCTCCCTCCCCCCCCCCCCCGCCCCTGTCTGTTTTAATTAAATCTCTCTTCTGCTCATTGCTCAACGTGATCACCAAGCTGCTGGAATTTATATTTTTATGGCATTTCAAAAGACTAGTGTCCATTAGTATCTAGAGGATTTAGGTTATTGTGATTAAAAGAGGAGTTCCAAAGACCTTGCTCTTATTAAACGTACTGCAGTAGGATATTTTTCACAGAGCTCATTACACCTGGGACCTCAAGTAAATGCAGTAGTCAAAGAAGGGGGATTGAAATCAAACAGAAACACATCATAAGTTCTTCAAGGATAAATTGTCGAATACTCAGCAATATTTTAATGATGACATGTAAACAGTTTTCAGTTCCAAGGGCCGAGGAAATTTGCTGTACTAAATATTTCAGAGATTGATTTCACTGATGTAGCACGAGAAATTGAATTCCTCAGTTTAGAAACTGCTGTGCTGACTTCTGTCATGAATAATAACATCGTTGATCCGTTGTTTGGGAGGTGGGGGAGGAAACCTTATAACCCTGGTCACTATATTTGATGAGAAGAATGCTGACAAATGTATTAAACCGCCTCCTAATGACAGAGTTTTGTTAATAAGCCTGCGAATGTTGGATTTTGTTGAAAGCAATTCTGTTACAAAATGTAAAAGCGACAGCCTATCTAACCTCATTCATTTTCAGATGATTGGAGTTAAGTCATTACATTTGATGGTCTGGGAATTGTTACCTGATAATATTCAAGAAATTGGGAAATTATGAACTAATTTTGGGCTCTATCAAATAATGAGACTCTAGAGAGTGGAGTATTACAAAAGTAAGCCTTAAAAATGACAAAGAGAAGATATTTAAACCTTTTTTCTTTATGGAGCAGTAAGAACATTCTGCCAGTGAACACAATTCCCATTATCTGACCAATTGCCTTGCTGTGTCTTTTTCTTTACAGTAGGCTTATATTAATTACAATTATATTAATTTAAGAAGTAGGCACTGCCGCTTGCTTCTTCCCTCAAAGAATAATTTAAATTATCTGCAGATGTCAGTCCTTTTTTCCTAGACTTTGCCTTAGAAATACTTATTCACACCATTAACACCTGGTGATACCCCGCGGAATCTAGAAAAATGCTTGCAGTGTACAGCAGCTGGTGTACAAGTACAGTTATCCAGTTTCATTACAAGTAGGATTTAACTTCTGGCTTGTTTCAGTGGTTTGTAACTGCCTGATTGCAATTTAAGTTATAGTGAAAGGACCAAACTCTTTACTTGCCTTGCTCCCTTGAAGTCAGTGGAGTTGTGCTAGCAGACTTTAACCCAAAGTTGCCATTGCAGTGAGTTCAGTGCTGCCCCCCTCCCCCCCGCCCCCAGAAGTCAGTGGCAAAATTTCCATTGGCTTCAAGAGGAGTAGGACGGATCAGACGCTGATGCCATTCTTCAGTATGAAGCTCTTTCAGACCCCTCCCCTGTGGAGGGCTCTCAGGCAAAGGAAACAGAGCAGGGTGTGGGGAGGCAGTGCAAAGGGCACGCACCTCCTGTATGGATTCTCACTGTGAATGAGCTTCCCCTGCAGAACCTGGCGCACTTACGAGTTTGTGGAGGGGCAGAGCTTCAGGATCCATAGCTATGCAGATGCATGTTTTTCCCCCTTGGCCCAGGGATCTTCTTACATAGAGGGCATAGTCCTGCCCCTTGAGTATTGTTTTACTGACTTGGGGCAGCATTTTTCCATCTGACTCTAACCCCAAAGTCTGTTTTGAGATCATAAAGCTAGGGAAAGAGAAGACCTGCAAGGCCTTACAGCCCATCCTGCTACAACTGCAGCATTGTGGAGCGGCGTTAGCTTCTATTATAAACCCTTATTTTCTGGACCCTTTGTAACTTTGGCTTAGATGATGAGTTAAACTGGTAATTTCCAGGCCAAATCGAAAGACAAATTGAAGTCACTGGGGTTAAACCAGTATAAGTAAGATCAAAACCAGGCTCTGATTTCTGGAGCATGAGGGGTTGAATCAGATCTCTCTATTTAAGTTTAACCTTTCTCTTATTGCTGTAAAAATACCCATTTGTTCTTGCCAATTTAAAAGATAAATAATGAAAAAATTCACTGGTATTTCACTTGAATGCTGTCAGGTTTGCAATGAATATTAGAATGAAGACTATAATAATCCCTTCCAAATTCCATTCACAAATAGATATATTTTATATTCCTTTTTCAGCAACTGATAGTTGAGCAGTTTTCTTCACAATGAAGTTGTGTAGCCTTATTATTTAATACTTTTGTTCCCCAAGAGAGATTGTTAGGCTTCCTATCTCAGATGGGGATATAATAGCACTATGTGAAGTGTTACAAGCTGTACTGGTATTGAACATCTGAACAGTGCCTAAAGAGTGAATCTTTTCCAGTCCCTTAAATTCTGGTATGTGAAAATGCAAATCTTGTGGACTAATATGCTTGTGAAGTTGGGAAAGAGGGAATCTGGGGACTCTGATGGATAACTGATGTTTTCTAGCATGTGGATGGTAACATCATTTCAGAGTTAAGTAGATTTCAGAGGAAGCAACACTTACACTGATTTATTCATTGCTCTGCAGGTTTGAAACTTTTGAAGTGAATAGCTTTGAACAGTTTTGTATCAACTATGCCAACGAAAAACTTCAACAGCAGTTCAACTCGGTAAGGTCAGCTGTTTCATAAGATTAATAGAAAACTTTGGATAAAAGCCTGGCCACATTTTCCTGTGCCAGGCTTCCACTTAGACAAACTTGTCTCCACTCTGGCCAGCTCTCACTATTAACATGAATTCGGCAGTTATAGCATAATCCCCACGGGGCAGAAATCATGCAGTAGAACTGTACTATGTTTTCATTGCTAAAGGTGAGTTTTGCTTGGTTTTGGTTTTGTTATAAATCTGAATCTCTTAGCAGGTTTGTAAACAATTTATTCCAACCTGGATCCACTGATGTTTCTGAGTGGTTTGTATGTGAAACCATTGGGAAACTGGTTTTTGCATAGTTTCAACCCCAAACCAAGCTAAACCTGGCTGTTTGCAATGAATCTGTTTCAGGATTTAAAGAGAACTCAGGAGTGGAAACCTCTAGGAGGCTGACCTAACCTGCTGAGAACTGAAACTACTTCACGTTGTATGCTTGTATTATACACATTCTAACACAATTTGTTGTGTTTGTCTTGAGATGTGAAGAGATAGATGGAGTTCGATATCTACATTGAGTAGACCTAAAAATGTCAGAAACTTTACACAATTAAGGGTCTGATTCCAGTTTCACTGAAATCCATGGGAATTTTGCCATTGACTTCAGTAAAAGCAAGATTTGACCCTAATTTTGGGTAAAGTGGATCTACAAGAGAATTTGTTGAATTTGAGCAACTAAATTCTGTGGGGCAGTCCTGGTACTTGAAAACTGTTCTGTACATGTAGTGATGCACAGTTGCTATTTGTAAAGCATCATACTATATATCAATGCTTCTTTAAGAAATTGAGAGGAAAGTGATAGGTTTAATTTGCGCAGTACACAACTGTTTTAATACATACAACTGTTGCTTCTAAAGCAAAAAGATTCAAATTCAGTGATGACATGTTTGAAGAGGTTTTAAAAGCCACCTTTGAAGGAAAAAAATGCATCTGAGCCAGACTATTTTTTTTCTTTCTTTCCTCGTGGTTAGAATATCTTAGAAATGATCAAAGGACTTTTAACCTCTTGGGAATCAGTCTGAGAAACTTCAGCCAGTGGGGGAACTTTTTTCCAGAAAGTTGTGTGTATGAAAACAGGAATCCATATTGAAAATGTCTTCTGAATCACAGCTGTGATGTTGATAACTCCCAGTCTCTCGCTTCTGTGGAAGTGTGCTCAGATACTTCGGTGGCGTGCACCAGTATAAGAACCTAGATAGGTAAATGTCTAGGGTATTCTAGTTCACTGAATAATTAACCCGTCATGGCATATGAAAATGAGGAATCATTAGGGGAGGAGGCAGAGATCTTGAGTAATGTATAAGCTACATTATGCTCCCCTGTTAGGATACCACTCTCACTTATCTGTAGGGACCGTTTGAATAATTTTCCAGTGCTATATATAAAGAAAATATCCCCACCAAATGCTTTATAATGGTAGACTTTGAGATCCTTAGTCATACATGGGACCAACAAATAGCAGAGTTTTTGGTTACACTGCACACTGTCTTCAGCTGAAAATTCTAGCACTTCTCAGCCATGTACAGGAGAAAACTACACTTCTAGTAATTGCAATAGGTAAGTGGGATGAGGGAAGTTTAATTATTTAAAAGGTAACAGTTCAGTAAAACTTTTTTGTCTTTTCTGATCACAGCATGTATTTAAGCTGGAGCAAGAAGAGTATATGAAGGAACAAATCCCTTGGACTCTTATAGATTTTTATGACAATCAGCCCTGCATAGATCTTATAGAAGCCAAACTTGGTATCTTGGACCTGCTGGATGAAGAGTGTAAGGTAAAGAAAAACACTGACGTCATCACTGCCTTTTTATCATTCTCAAAGTAACTTGAGCAGGCTAGTCATGCTGCATTCAGCGTGATGGGTCCCAAAGCTCACCCACCAGCACTCTCCAGGAGCAGGACGGGGCCAATAAAACAGTCCTTGTCCAAAACGAACTGCAGTCTGGTGGTCTTGTTGAATTCATCACTCCTCCTGGGTTCTCAAGTAACAACGGTAGCCTATAGTATCTCTTATGTAATTCATCTGACTAGGAGTCTATGACCACTCCTCTTAGATGCAGAATTTGCAGTAGTCATCCCCTTCTTTGTGACCTCTCCAGTAGGTAAGGCTATTGCAATGTGCTTTACTTCTGGCTACAGTTGAAGACCATGGGTAAACATCACCTGACGCAGAAGGTTGCTGCCCACTTCCTAAATTGGGCAGACCGCTGACACACCACACCAGTGCTCTCATTTCTACATTGGGTGTAGTTACAGATGTTGGTGCTGATATTTAGTTCCCTAAATTGGACCTGGTTTGTTTGTTTTTTTTTTTTTTTTTAGTTTTCCTCTCCAAGCCTATATCCTTTCACAGCAGTTGAAATTGGCTGCTTTTCCTTGTGGTTCCTGGGATAAGTCTTTTCGGGTGGTAGGGCTTTCTCAGTCTGAATCTCCACCTTTTGGAATTCACTCCTCTTAGTGGGTCGGTTCCTGGATCCAGAATATGGTAAATTTCTGAGCACACTCAAAAGCCTTTTAATTTGTTAGATTTGAAGGACTTTATTCATAAAGTTGATGATGCAATGACAAGCGACTAGTTGCAATCCTGAAGGGATAGATTGTAAGCTCTTTGGAGCAGGTATCATCTTTTTCATTTTGTTTGTACAGTGCATAGCACAATGGGGTCTCAGTGCATGACTAGGGCTCCTAGACATGACAGTAATCCAAATAATAAATAATGATAACGGATCAAATTTATGCAAGGGGTGAAATTCTAGGTTTATTGAAGTCACTGGCAAAGTTCCCATTGACTGTAGTGTAGTCAGGATTTCCTCCAAGTTGTCCAACTTGCTGAAATCAGATGCACTAGCCACCCTTATTCTATACCAAATGAGCAGAAGCCACCAAGACATCTGTGTGCTGTTAAAGTCTGTCATTTGTACACTTTTCCCATATTGTAATGGTTGCAGCAGTGAGATATCATACAGTGAGATTTTTGTCTTAAATGTCCATCTCAGGGACTAGCAAAACTCAGTTCACCCGGCTGAAGTGGCTTTCAACTAAAGGTCAAACAAATGGCGTTGGGAAGCTTGGGCACATTTTAAAGAGTTTTCTTACAGTGAGTTTGTAGAAACAGATTTCCATGTTTATTGCTGCTCAGCAATTCCTGAGCAAATGTGTTCAGCTTACAAATTAAGTCATTAACAGCCAGAACTGCAAACTCACCTTAGAATCCCAAAGTCAAGTTGGACTCTTACTTGCTCATCTGTCACCAGCAATAACAATTTTGCAGCTGGAACTTAGTTAACATGATGCTTGAGCCAGCAGAATCCAGAGATTGTTAGATCGGCAGGGCTGGTAGAGTAAGGGGCTGGTAGAGCACAAACAGCAGAAATACCTTTGTCTAAACACACAAGGGGGAGGATCTGTTGAATAAGAAGGTGCTATTTTTGCAAACACTTTTCTGCTCATAATCTCCCTTTAACACAAGGGAGTAACTTCCTGGAAGTGGTTCTTCATGCCAGTTTCCGTGTAGTGTGATTAACAGTTCAGTGTTTTAACCATCTGTTATTAGGCAAGAAAGTTTGCATTAAGACTCAGGTCTGCCTGTCATGAGAAATGGCCTTGTGGGTCTGTGTGCATATATACAGTCGGGTAAACTGTTAGCCTTCATGTTCAGTCAGTGTAGAGGACCTTGCCTCTCCCGTAGCAAGGCATGTAAAGGACACTAATCACTCTTGTTAGCTCCACTGAGATTCATGAGCATAACAACAGGCCCAAGGTGAAGAGGAGGCAGAAGTGTCATGTTACATCAAAGGGACGCTTTTCATATTTGTTGTTTAAATTCCTTTGTCCCTGCTGGGATTTAATAAGGAGTGTGACCTGTCCTCCTTTGTGAGAGAAAGGTGACTTCTTAGATGAGCGCTCACTTCCTTCCATTTCTTATGTGGCACATCGACTTTCCTTCCCATTTAATATTAGATTGTCTTCAGTGGCTAGTGGCTGGGTGTTATACTATTGATGGCTGGCTGTAATCATTTGTGATGAAGACGTGCACAGCAGGGATTTCTGTTTGTGTATTTACAGTGAGTCAGAGCTGAGATTTTTTCACTTGGTTAAGTGAATCTGATCTTACTTAAATAGGTATTTAAGTATCCTTGACCATTTTGTTTTTTTTAACTGAGCATTAGTCTATGAAATTCCTACTGTTTGCATTAATTTAGGTCTGCTTTGCTCATGCATTCTAATGAAATCATAAGGTAAAATGGTGTGTTGTGAATAACGCAAAGGAGAGGGCCTGGTGGAGCATGGCGCATTTTTGTGGTTTGACTCTTCCTTCTGATTCAGTGCTGGAGCAATGCCCAAGCACAGTAATAGATGGCGTTCTGTTCCTGGAGGTGCTCTGTTTTGGGTGAGACATTATGACTTAAACACTTGTGGTCATGAAAGATCCCACCTCCCTTCTTGTAAGGGAATATAGAGGTTGATGTACTGGCCAAATTGCAATTTGATTGCATCCTTCCTACTGAAAATTTTCCCTGTTGCTGCTGCTTCTCTGCCATCCCTCAGGGTTTCCATTGGGAGAGAAGCTTTATGTGGCTGAAGCACCAGCCAGGCCCAACCAATGGAAACTGCTCTGAGGATGTGCAAAACAATAATTAAATGAGGACTTTCCCATTTTTAGCATAGTTTTGGTCTTTTCTTCTCAATTATGGCTTTTTATTATAATTAATTAACAAATGAGAACAACTGGTGGCTGGCTCAGAAGTAGGTCATGAACCTAAGCTCAGTTGTTCAGTGCCATCCACTGCACTGCCAAGCCTCTCTTTCTCCAGGCTTGAGAAGACCTCTAACTATTAGGAACTAGGAGGAAAGTTTCCCAGATGGCAGATTGCCCTGTAACTCAAAACGGCATCTGGTACTGGCTGCTGTAGGTGACAGGCTACTGGACTAGATGTGCCATTGGTCTGATTCATTATGGTAATTCTGATATATATAAAAAAAAAATGGTACCCTTCTTTGGTGTTGTACAAAGCCCTGCTGCCTAATGGGGACAGCCTGAACACAGAGCTCTGTCCAGTTCTAACCCAGTACTACTTTTCATCCACACCTCTTTGACGTAGAACCTGAAACAGAGGAACAAACCCCGCACATATCGGTTCCTGCAGTTTCCGTGGTATTTCTCTGTAGCTTGGGAGTAGTGAAATTAGTCAGTTTTATAATGGACCCTTTTATAATAACCTGCAAACACTCCACAGCCTTACAAAATTTTCAGTGAGTGTGGTGAGTGAAATCACCATTTTATTGATAAAACCTACTCACACCCACATCCCAGTTGGTGAGCTTGTATTTTTAGAATCTCACCACTCCTCCTTGCTGTTATAAAATAGCAAAATCTCTTCTCTTATGCAGCACCATGGAGAGAGAATTGCTTTGCTATGGGCCGCAATTGGTATAAAAGTACAATAAGTCAGTTGGCAAGCAAGCCCACTAATGCAGTGGATAAATGTACTCTGGGACTGAAACTCCGTCAAGGGGCCTGGCAACATAATGAAATACTAGAGCAGAGGTGGGGTATTTGTCACCAAAGTTCTTGCCTCACAGAATGTTTTTCCTGTATTTTTTTTAATGTATACAAGTTCTTTATTTTAGCCTCTTCCATATGACTTTTGTATGCCAGTGGACTTGAGTGAACTAAATAATACAAAAAGCTACAAAGCATAGCAAGAATATAGCTACAGGGTTAAAAAGAGATGGGAGTCACCAGTGAAACAAATGGGTTTTGACTTCAGGCAGGGGCTTGAAGACGGAGCTTCAAATCCTCATGTTGTTGAAGGAGTTTTTCTGACCATACATGGAAACTTTCACAGTCCCCAGACTCTGTAATGGATACTTTTTCTCTGTGTATCTTAGGACAGGTTATAGTTATCTTATGTATCATTTAAATGTCCCAGTTATAAATGTGGATGTTGAGTCAGAGTATAGTTACTCGCTATTCATCCCTGTGCCAAATGCAATGAAATCAGGTTACTGGTAATATTTAGCAAACTGGTTTTGAATCCCACTGATATCTCTGCACATGTCAGTGTAAAGTTCACTATTAAAAAAATACATTTTTCTTGATTTGATGGTTGGTTGGTCTGTAGAAAACCATTGGAAAACAAAGTGGCATCTTTCAAAGCTGGCCAGCTACTTCCTCTGATTTGTGTTCTATGAACCGCTGCATGTAGGTTAAGAAGAGCGGCAGAACCCCTGAGGGGTTTATGGTTTGGACCTCATTAGTTCTAATCCGATGGCAGAATAACGACTTGCACGTTGAGTTGTCATCCAGAGCATGGTGAGGAAGCAACAGAATGTGCAGCCCCTATCCGTATGAAGCGCCACAGAACTCTGGCATACCCAGGGCTGGGCGTGGTTTTTAGATTATATTGGCGGTGCAGGGAAGAAAGAAACAATTAAAATTCTCCTTCTTAGTTTTTATAATACTAATTGCTGGATCTGTGGCTTTGAAGAAGTCTCGTTAGTTATCCCATTCTTTTTTTTTTTCCCTGATAGATTTAAGGTTGGATTTAATGTTTCCTTTACTCTGAATTTGTATAAGTAGGGGCATAGCAAGCAGATCGAGGGACGTGATCGTTCCCCTCTATTCGACATTGGTGAGGCCTCATCTGGAGTACTGTGTCCAGTTTTGGGCCCCACACTACAAGAAGGATGTGGATAAATTGGAGAGAGTCCAGCGAAGGGCAACAAAAATGATTAGGGGTCTGGAACACATGAGTTATGAGGAGAGGCTGA